TATTGTAGGTATATCTGATCGATATGACAGACAGACCGTGCTTTTAATCGTTTTTATCGTAGGTATACAATAATTTATCATTAAATCCAAAATTAATATTATTTGTGGGAACATAACAATTGTACGTAGGTAATAGGTATGTTATACATTTAGATTTGAGATTAATTTGAAAACTTATATTAACTTATATTATGGGGTTATTTTTTCCGTGGTTATTTTTTCGCGTGGTTATTTTTTCGGGGGTTTTTTTTTTCGGGGTCTAAATTTCCGGGGTTATTTTTTCGCGGTACCATGCAAATCATAGGCCGTTGGACAACCAGTATGTCTTTAATCGTGATTAGTGATCTAGAATATTAATTCACAATTAATTAGTCATGAATTGAATAATTTTAACGGGGAAACATGTCATGTGGACGGTGGACGTAATTTTGATGAGGAGCATACTAGGCAACTCATCGTACGAATAGGGAATAGGGAATGGTCAATACCGGGCCGGGACTATTGCCAACTTTGCACACGTTATGGCGATACTGTACTATTTTGGAAGGGCCCATTTTGTTTCTCACCGTCAGGCACGGTCAGTAGTTGTTATCTRAGGAAAATATGAAAAACATTATTGATAATGATATACTTTTGAAACCTTGAAAATACCATGTGGCATACCGCTTTCCGCAGTCTAAAAAATATTAAATAACAATATTTGACTATCGAGTTACAACATTTTGTACTTTTTGTAGCCACTGCGATTTTTTATTGTAAGTATGTAAGTCTGCGGTTTTCTGGTGTACGAACTACGCTGAATATATAAGATGACGAAAATACAATTTTTTAGTTTTAATATAACCGCTAACAACAAGCCACTCGCGCGTAATCGCCTACCACGATTGATAACGTGCTTAATGCTTATCCTTTCAGATGACCGGTCCGCAGAAGAAGAAAAAGCACCATGTTGGTGACACATTCTACAAACGGAAGTACAAGACCAAGCACAGAGCCAGAGACATCGACGAGGTAAWTGAGCATTTTTTAAGGTCGACCGTTGAGCAATCAAAGTATTTTCAACTCTGACCCGCTGTGCCTGGTTAGGTTAGGTTTATATCTAAACACGCGTTTATCCGTTTGTTTTTTATACCGACTATCAAATAAACGACTAGAAAATGTTGAAATTCGATTTTATTTAGCGAGCATCCGAGCATGTAATTTCAATGAAGTTTGATTCTATACTCATGACGCGATGTAGATGACCCGCTCTAAGTGTATTTAAGTATCACTGGTACGGACAATCGATTCTTACGACGTACGTTCACAAAATATGTATTTTATTGATAAATGATGATTTGGTGTAAATGGTATATTATAAATACATTTTTTAAGTGCCTCAACTAACTAACAGTAAAAAATAGCAGGAATGCATTAAGTAATTGTGCACTAATATTTTTCTCACTCCTGTTACTTAAATATGTTTACATCTTACCTGGGATATTATTTTAGTCTATAATTAGTAGTAAACATATCTTCGTGTTAGCTTATATAGTTTTTAATACATTTTTCAGAATAATATTAACTCAATATTTTCTCCATTCCACTTATCAAAATTTA